GTTCTACTTGTAACATCCAACTGAAATGAATCCGCGTGGTGCTGGGTGTGGAAGGCCCACTGGAGGATTGTTACCAATAGCATAAAAAGAGAACTGGAGAGGAAGATGGGGTGCTATTGATTCTCCTAGAAAAAGCTTATCAGGCTGGTTTTCCTGATATGAACTCAGCTGCTCTCACTGATGGATGAGCTCAGGTCCTCACTGTCACTGAGGATGGCTATAGTTCTCTTTGGGAAGCTCTGGTCCTTACTTTAAGTGTCACTTCCTGGCTCCAGGGCAGATCCCTCAGCCTGCAGGCACAGATTCTTCATCCTGCTGGTGCAGACTTTCTAGCTTCCACTACTGACCTTGGGCCTTCCTGGTGCAGATTCTTGATGCAGACCTGCATAAGACATTGTTGTGGTCTCTAGGCCTCCAGCTGGAGTTGTGGTGGATATTGCCATGGGCTCTAGGTTTTCAGCTGGACTTATGCAGGACATTGCCATGGGATTCAGGCCCTCAGCTGGATTCTTTGGGTCTCTTGCATTTGACTCTTTGGGTGAATATTATAACATAATCCTATAAATTATTATTATTTATTTTTGTTACTGGAGATCAAACTCATGATCTCACAGTTGCTAGGCAGGCGTTTGTGCTGCTAAGCTATATCCCAAGTCCTGTATCCTATAAATTATATGTCCTGTATTAAATCTTATCCTCTTTAAACCCTGACTACTACATTGGTGTAGCAAGAACTAACCTCAGGGCCCCATGAAAGTGACTTTAATCATTTCCTGGGGGCAAGAACCCCCGTGATCTAATCCTCTCCTACTAGGAATCTCTTGAAGATTCTACTGTCAACATTACCCATGAAGGACAAAGCTCTCACTCATGAATGCTTAGTTCATAAACTCAAATCATATGCAAACCTCAGCAGCCAATGATCTTTCCTGTCTCTGACATAAAGCTATGAATATGCAAATATGAAAGCTAGAGTTTGGCTCACCCCACCTATTTAATGCCAGGAGCCTTCCAGAGCATCCCTGATAAAGGAAGCAACTTGATTAATCCGCCTCTACTGATGGAAAAGTCATTAATTACTCTACAAGGAAGCAGTTCCACTGTTTGATCCTTTATTTGCTCACTCAAGGAATATTTAATAAATGTCTACTATCTGTCAGACACTATTCTAGAAGCTGACAAACCAGACAGGAGCCTGACTCTCTTGGATCTTGATTTTTGGATAGGGAAGCAAACACTAGAAAGAAAACAGGAACTGAACAGGACTTTTAGGTGAAAATGAGTGCACCGGAGACAGTGTGCCTGGACATGAGCACCGCTTTGGATGGGATGGTTAGGGTAGATCTTAAACGACAGAGACTTACTACCGAGAAGGACAGGCCTCCCAAAGATCAGCCGTGGAAGGCACTGGAAGCAAACAAAACAGAAAACACCGAAGCTTGGGGTGAGGGAGGAGTGAGTTTGGCACCCTAGATAAGACCACCAGCCTGGAGAATGACCGAGTGAGGGAGGATGGGGGGAGATGAGCTTGAGGAGGCAGGTGGAAGTTATGCCGTACAAGGCCCACCTGGCCTCAGGAGGGCTTTCACTTTATCCTAAGTGTGATGCGATGCCATCGGATGAGTTTGAATGGAAGTGCGACATGGTGTGACTCAGATTTCAGAAAAGATGCTATGTGGCAAATGTATCACAGGAGGCACTTCTGACTGTTTGTAACTCTCCTTTCTCTGACTGATCAACTCTGATTCTTCCGAAATTGCCTCGGCACCCAAGGCCAAGCCCAGCCACAGGTTCTTACTGCCGCCTTTAAATTTTTCTAATCAGCCATCACAGTTTTCCTGTAGTTCTTTCTAAATGTCCCTGATTCTTTCAATGGGAAGATGTGTGTCATCTTGAGTAAGAAAAGGCTAACTAAATCGGCACAGCATTTTGATGCCCCCAGGAACTCTGCCTTGTTGTTGCCTGGGTGGAGGAAAGGGGAAATGCAGAGGGATGGGTCTGCCTTTGTTTCCCCAGAGGAGCTCCAGTCTTCAGACCCGTCGGCCTCCTGGTGGAGACTTGCACGGGACTCTGCAGTGAGCTCCAGACCTTTGACTGAATCTTCGGTTTTGGTCCCCAGGGTGCAGACAGACCCTCTGTGCTTTCCCTCACCCAACTCAGTGGGGGGCCACTGTAAGCCAGTCTTGTGGATTCTTGTATGTTTGCATATCTTGTGTTACATCTGTTTCTTTAGTAAACCCTGACTGGTCTACAGGATGTTTTGTGTATCCAGCTTTATTAAATGTGGGACCCAGGGCTAAGCACATTATTGACCAACCCAGAATTCCAGAGGGTTGTTAATTCCAAGGATGCTCACTTACAAAGGATACTACAGCCTTGAAGGAATAAGAGTTTATAATGTGGGGCTTCTGGGTCAAAGGCGGGGCTGATACACTCCCTACGCAGTGGTGTACACGCACATGTACATTGTGAATGCATTTCTAGCCTTCATTAAAGTCTTAAATAGACCCTCTCCCCTGAGAATCACTGCCTTCGAAAGTTAAATCAAGGGATTTCTATGCTAAGAAGAAACTACAAATTAGTCCCTCTCTGCTTCCACGTCTGCTCTCTTCTTGCCTGCTTCAAATGCCTTTGCAGGTTCCTTGATCCCTTCCCCTGCCTCATAGCCCACTTTGAATTCCTTCTCTGGTATCATCCAGTGAAGACCACTTTGCTGTCTTCCTAGACCAGCCACTGGTGGGGAAGGTGCTCTTCGGTGAAATCGGGAAATGGGCCTGGACCAGACGTCTGTCTGTTTGTGTTTCCCTCTCTTGTCTGGACTCACAGCTTTTTGGGGCGCCCTGTGAGCCTGATTTGCAGACTTCCTAAGAGCAGGGGACAGAACCTGGTGAAGACCTTGAATGTAAACGAATGCAAAGGGCAAAGTCATCTTAAAAGAATTATTATTCATTTCCCATTGCAGTTAATTTTGGCACCTTCATCAGGGTTTAAATTCCAGTACCATATCATATCAAAGGAAAAAAAAAGTATTTGATGTACGTGTTAATTACCGTTAAGATGTAGCTACTTAAATCAAGAGTTTAATCTTCATTTGACTATTCAGAGCAGCTCTGTGTGGGGGATGGGGAGAGCCTCTTTTGATTTGGGTTATTTAAATAGGTGATGAGAACTTCAAGCAAAATGCCTTCTACTTCTAAACCAGCATTTGGGTATCTCGTAATTAGCACCCAGCAGAATGAAAAGTAGTTCGGACAATCAAGTTCCTCTAGGAATTCCCAAGTTTTTGCCTTTTCTGTGAAGTTGGGAGAAAGTTTTGAATAACGTAATTGCATGTGCTCAAAGATTGAGGTTCTAAGATAACCTATTAGTAAGTGTTATCTTAAAAGCGTAACAGAAGTTTAGGAAGTAGATCCATGGAGAAAATAATATGCTATTATTTAAAAGCACAAATTGTCAAAAAGATACTGCTCCTGGGTACACACTTTATAAGAAACATCTTGGATAAATCCCTAATGTGCCTTTTTTTAATACCATAAAACTATAAAACCCATAGAAACACCAAGTTATTTACCAAGTGATTAAATCATAGTCATTTGTTATAGTTTTACAAGAACATTGTTTTCTTGGATTTCTAAGGCTTTATTGCTGCAGATATAATACTTCGCTCCTAATAATCCCTATTGATTTTACTATATTACCTTATATTTTTAGATTTGCTTTACTGTCTTGCGTTAAATTCTGGCTTTAATGTGCTACATAAAATGATAGATGTCATCACGCTTCTCAAACCTTCTGAAGATAATTGTCTTGTCCAACATGCATGAAAAATGGTTGCTTCTGGCTGCTGACAGAGGTGGGGGGCCATGCATTGTGGTCTCTAGGACTATTTGTTGCTCTAATTCTGGGCTATTAAGGTACTCTTCACATGCTGGTGGATGCTGGTAGGTGTGGTAATCAGGTTTGTCCCAGATAAAAGTAAGTATCTGAGATGATATCCATATCACTGCTTTGTTACTCTTTCTTGGGCTCTGCGGTTTATGCTGCATCTACAAAGTACTTTGCATAAGATAATAGCTCATTTGCTGATTCAGTCAATGAAGAGCATGGTGTTCTTACAGAAAGTTATTGAGCTTCTGGGTACTGTTTTAATGCTTCTGCTTTAAGGAAACTGCTAAGTGTTGTTAAAAATGATGACACATAGGCAGGAATGGATGGTGTCACATGCCTATAATCTCAGCACTCTGGGAGGTTGAGGCAGGAGGATCACACAAGTTCAGGCCCAACCTGGGCAATTTAATGACTTAGTGAGACTGTCTCAAAATAAAATATAAAAACAGACTGGAGGAACAACTCAGCATCAAAGTCCTGACAAGGAGAGTGACAGAGAGTGAAAGAGAGAACAAGACAGAGGAAGAGAGAGAGACGGGTGGGGGGGGATATTTTGGCTGCATTATGTTAGACAAATGACTATCTATTTCTGTTTTCTTTTTTCTTAAACTGAGCCAAGGTTGTTGGGAAAGTCAAATGGGATAATTAATGGGTAATTCTTTGTAAATTATACAAATGTGATACACCTGTAATTAACTGAGCCCGGGCCCTCGGAGTCAGATTACATGGTGGTTTGAGTTCTGGGATCATCATGCATTACTTGTATGACCTTGGCAAAATGACCTCTTGTTGCCTCAGTCTCCTCACTGTAAAATGGAGCTAATAATAATATCTACCTTATGAATCAAAAAGATGAGCCAAATGGATATAGATAAAGCTCTTGGGATACCATAGTCAGCAGAATAAAAGGCGCTGTTGTGATAATTTTCTCCTTTTAGAGTCTGGGCCTCTGAGAGCCAAAGTGTCTGCTCCCACTTACAGTGTAACAAAGGTGCTACATTAGTTAATGGAGACCGGCTGAGAATGAGTGGGGTCTCGCTGTGGTCCCAGGCAGCCCTCTGTTTAGCTGAGGACTTTCAAGTGCTGCTCTTTCTTCCAGAGGATGGACAACATCACTGCTCTCAAGCCAGAAACAGCTCCTCTCCTCCAACCTACACGAGCTCTCCTCCCTGCAGACCCCAAGATCTTCCCCCAGAGAACAGGGCTGCCAGGTTCAATCTCAGAGAAGATGTGTCACTTTCTTTAGTACTGGGAAATGAACCCAGGATCTTGCCACTGAGCTACCCAGCCCTTTTATTTTGAGATAGGGTCTTGCTAAGTTATGCAGTCTGGGTTTGAATTTGCACTCCTCCTGCCTCAGCCTCCGAGACTGCTGGGAATTACAGGTATGTGCCTCCACACCCAGCTCCTTCTCCTTCTCCTTGAACAAACCAAAGTGAGTGGTAGATCTACCAACACACCATGAGGAAGGGAAAAAAGGTACTAATGCAGAGAGACAGGCTGCTTCACCAGCAAACCAGTCCCCTCCTTGGCAGTGCCTGAGACAAACCTCTCAGGGCCAGAGGTCAGAGCAGCAAATGGTCTCAGTCTGGATCTGTGGGCGCACCGGGAGGGAGGCCTCTCGGTCCCCTCATCTCTGGGCACCCTTTCCAACAGGTTCTGTGCTGCTGCTGCTGCTCCTCTGCTCTAATTCCCAGTTCTTTGAAAGAAGGGACTTTGTCAGTATTCTGTGATGTTGGCTGCTTGATGTGCTGATGAGATTTTGTAGCCACTGGAATGATCAGAGAAGCATCTGTGTGAATCCTGAGTGACAGAAGAGGAAACTAGATAAGAGTGAGCAAGAAGGAAGGTCTGGGCCAGGCTGAGTGCAGGGAGGCCCCTCCCCACCTTGCTTTCTTAAAATTAAGCAACAGACCAGTGGGCAGAAGCAAGGAGAAAGCCGCTGAATAAATGTCGCCTTAGAACACAGACACTGACATTTGATGTTCTCAAGAAAATGAATAAACCAACCAGAAAAGCCCTTTGCCTGTCTAGGGTCTCTGTTGAACCTAGAAATAAAACCTGTGTCTCCCTCACCCAGCTCAGCAGGTGCCAGCCCCCTGGGAAAGTCGGAGGGAGAGGCAATCCAAAGGCAGCCAACGACGAACCTGTGAGAGCGGGTGATACCCAGGACAAGGAGGGAGCGAACCTCCCCTTCACCCACCGCAGAAGGACCGAGTTTGCTGGTGATGGATGAGGATTTAGTGCCTTGAGATCCCTGGAGCCCAGGTCAGGCAACAAACAAGGCAAATGGTATTTTGGGTCAAATCAATCGGAATGAAGAACTAGGACACCTGGGCTGGGAAGCCAGCATGAAGGATGGGAGGGTCAGCGGACGGCGGTACCTTTGTGCAGTGGGGATCATCTGTGATCATCCCTACACAGATTAGTCTTCTCCTCTGATTTCCACTAGGAAAAAAACCCAGCAAAACCTCAGATCTCTCTCAGAACATGATGCATGAGCCACTTAACAGCAGAAAGATGAGGAAAGTGCCATCAGGTGCTCAAAATGCAATTATGATTGGAAAAACCAAAAACTGCTGGTTCGTTCCTAGCAGGTAAACAAATGCACATTTGCACCAGTGGAAAAACTCACATCTCCCCTGCCCATTCTGGGTGCCCATAGAGTAGGTACAGAACACTCCTGTGGTCGTCACCTGACAGATTACACTCAGCAGAGACAGGCTGCCTGGGCATGTCGTGTAATTCAGCATTAAGTATCCTATTGATTCGCTGAAGTGCTGCCATGGATGTTAATGGAGATAAATATTGTGGCTGTGATTTTTCAAAGGGCCAAGTCGTTACCAAGCCTCAATAACATCTGTCATGATGTAATGCAGGGTGACCTCAAGATACTTGACTTGAGGCCAGCCATGGTGGGTGGGGCATTGCCGGGACTCTGGGATACTAAGCAGGGTCTTGGGGAGGTAGCCAGAGTTTCTGAGACCTACCAAGGCCCACCCACATGGTGGGCACCAGGATGGGGCGGTGTGGATATGTTGGAAGCAGAGGTGACTCCTGACAGCTTTTCCTTGTCACTCATCTCCAAGGTCCCTGATCACCGGGAGGCATGGGCATCGCTAACCTCCATCATGGAAACTTGCCAGGCCGCAGGAGATCAGACCATTCCTTCTCAGAAAACACAGTGTGTTTCCTTCATTCTTCATCAGAAGCACTGCATATTATTACCAATAACACAGCTGTACCATATCATCCTTAGAGCCCGCCCTGTACCCGGCTTGCTTGGACATGTGACCACTTCAGTGCATGATTCCAGTGGCCGTTATCAGAGAGCTTAGTTGACTTGCTCAAGGTCACACAGTGAGGAAGTCATGGGCAGGCTAGAATCCAGATCTCAGGATTTCTTACCCACATCTATTCACAATCACCTTTCAGTAGAATTTCTGGAAACTGTTAAAATAGATGGCCTGAAACAAGTGATATTTTCTTCTAAAAAGGCTCTGTAAAAATCTCAGGGTTGGTAATCATGAGGAATCAATTACTCTCAAACAAATCCCATTTCAGTCAAATTTTGCAGGCTGCCCAATCTTTCCTACACTCCAATTCATTGTGTCTGCTGCTACTCGCATTATCTGGCTGCAAGACAAATCCCATCTTGTCACTCTCTAGGATGAAGACCTCCATCAGCCTATGCATCAGCGACAGGGCATTGTCCCTGCCTAATACATTCTTACCTCGCTCTGTGGTGTGATATCCTATTCTCTTGTCCCCAGTCCTGAAAACTAAAGACCATTCCATGCCCTTTCATCTTCTTAGTATCTCATACTTGCAAGTTCCTGTGTCTGGAAGGTGTCTCCCCACCTGTTGCCCAGGAACTCCTACTTGTACCTCAAGAGCCCTTCTGTCTTCCCTGCCTTTGGGAACGATCCCTGTCTCTCCTGGCTGCAGCAATGAGCAGTTCCTCCACCGAGATCCCGTGGGAACACTGCTATCACTTTATTCCATTTTTTCCAGCACAAATTTCCTGTTCTTGTTTTCTCATTTGTTTTTTTCCCATGGAGTTTGAATTTCTGTGGTCAAGGAATATAGCCTTTTCATGGTTATACTACTCCTTGGCACACAGTAGATGCACTATATATGCTTATACAATGAATGGATGAGTGGATTCGAATCGTCAGTCTGCTGGGGTAGGAGGACTCTGTAGGCTTTAGAACATATACTTTGGTCCTGTGAGACAGGAATTCCTGTATTTGGGCCCAGCAGGGACCTGCAGGGCATTAAGGCCTAGGGGAAGCATCTGGGAATCTATGAGGGTTGCTGGTGTTGGGTGGGCCTTTCTATCACCATGTTCCTTGAAAAAAGTGGCCCTGAGCATGGGTGCAGCCATGAACTTCCTTGGGGAACAGAATCTGCGTTCTAATGGAGGAAAGAGTGCACCTTCCTTTGAGGGACACCAGGTGGTAAGCAGAACTGATATGTCACCATTCAGTAACTGGAAGGCACGGGGCAGTCAGAGTGGACACAGGCAATGGTGCTACCACTCAGCCTTAGAGGTCCGTTTGTGCCAAGCGTGAGCTCTTTAGCTGCTGGACAGTAGAGAGGGTCTTGTGTTTGGAAACAGGAGAGGCAGGTTGAATGAGTGGATGGGGGCCAGTGGCAGCTGGCCAGCCAGTGAGAAAGTATTTTGGTATTGTCATAACTGCCCTGTTAATGCTGTACTGGTGCATACTGGGCTAAAGGGAAGTCTCACTAAAGAGCAACCCGATTTGAATTCTTGGAGGAATGTGTGTGTGTGTGTGTGTGTGTGTGTGTGTGTGTGTGTGTGTGTGCATGTGTGCATATGTATGTGTGGAAATGAGACAAAACTTTTGCAAGAAGGCAGTGTTGGAGCAGAACCTTTCATTTTTAATTTATTTCAATGGAAGGAGAAGGAGATGGGGGCAGGAAGTTTCTGGCTGAGGGACTGAATGAACCAGGAGACAGAAGTGTGACCACCCCTGTTTGAAGAGGTGATGGCGTGGTACCTGGGATGCTGGGCAGATGAAGACAGAACACAGCCAGGCTGTGAAGAGCCTTGCAAACCCTGTCCAAAGCACTGTCATCCAGACTGTGATGCCAGAGGCAGCCCTCCAGTCAAACCTTAGTGCCTGGGCAGGCTGCGGGGTGGCCCTTGCTGGGACAGCCAGTGGCACTGTCTTCACCAAGTCCAAGGCTGTCACCTGGAAATGGGAACAAGCTTCCTAATTAGGAAGGTCATGGCATTTCCCTGCTGCATGGTGACTGATGCTGCCCATCCAGCTGCCACATGGCCAATGTGCCACACCATGGTACGTCATTGCCTAATTAACACGTCTTGTTAGGTTCCGTGGTTGTCTCTGGTACACATGCTCTGAGCAGCTGTCACTGGGACCCTGCATGGATCCTGCTGCCTCATTAATTTGAGAGAAGGGAGATGGCGTTGGAGGCAGGGTAGAGGAGAGGGATGCTCTTTCTGGGGCATGCTGGCAGGGTGAGAAGATGTCAGATGCTCAGGGAGAGCTCCTGAGGCCTGGGGAAGGTTTGCACTCTGAGTGCCATGGACCTCTTTTCCTCCTTGCGTTTAGGGTGGGTGTCCAGGTGGTCAGGACCCTAGGCCTGCCCTGCATTGCCTTTGCTACTACCTTGCCAGCCTCGGCCTCCTTACTTGAGAAATATGAATAATCCCAACCCGACCTACCCGAAAGGTTTGTGAAAATGGCCCATCCTGAAGGATGAAACCTCTAGACGGGACCCAAATAAGACCAGGCATAGCTCCAAAGTTGGGGCTTTTGGAGAGAATTTCTTGCTTATGTAGGATTGGCCCTGGGACTTCTCTCTGAACACATTTCATTCATCCTTTCAACCCTTGGGATTCGCTTCCCAGTCGCCTCCACTCCATTCATCAAGTCCTTACCTTCCCCCTCTCCATCCCAAACTGTCTCCCTCCTTGGAAGCCCAGCCCAGCCTTGCTTCATCTGTGACAAATACTGTGAGCCATTCCTAAGGAGCTACTCTCATTTCTCTGGCTGCTGGAACAGTGCCCAGCACCTCACCTTGCACGAGCAGCATATCTTTCTTGGTGCCTGCGCAGACATGGCACAGCCCACTTCCACCAATGGCTTGAGCACGTGTCTGAACTTCATATCCACCAAAGCACAAAGGGAGCGGACAAACGTCCGTTGTGCAGGAAAGGTGGGAGATCATCTTCTAGCTCACACCCACCACTGCTCTCATCCGACTACACATCCGACTGCTGGTCTACCTTGAAGCCTTCTTCTCAGGTCTAAGGCATGGCTTCCTTGGGACTCAGGCCTGTTTCTTCTTTGTTGTTCTCCCTGTCTAGACCAGACAGGTGATAAGGAGTGTCCTTATCTTATCTTTTCCCATCTTCCTCTCTATCAGATTGCTGGGAGCCCAGCCTGCTCCCTGGAGCCAGCCCCTCAACTCCTTTGTCCTGTCTACTGAGCTGCGCCTGTACCGCTGTGTGGCACTGTCCTGGGTGAGGTTTCAGCTACTGAGGATGTGGCCAAAGCATCTGGCAGCAGCAGGAGGCAGACGTTCCCAGCCCAGCAGAGGCATGGAACCCACACCATTTGTAAATCTGTGATAATGAGCATTTAAAGGGCACATCCTAATGAAAAGAGCCAGGAATGACTGGCCATGTAATGCAGGCTGAGGATTTTAATTAAAATGCTTCTGTTCTTAGTTTTCCGCTTCCCCTTCCTCTATCCCCCCCCCCCCAATGATGCATATGCCTTATTTCTGGAACAAGCATGTGAAAAAAAAGAGTGTGTCTTCTATTTTCCCAATTAAGTTGTTCTCTAGAGGAGCGGGCACTCTCCTCTAGCATGGGAGCACTGTGTGTCAGGGTTTGGCATGACAGGGGGTGTTTGCTAATGATGGAGTCAGACCAAGACTGTGTGGCCCAAGCTGCAGCTGTCCACACCCCAGGAGGCACAGCAGGAGTGTGCTTACCAGTGACTGGCAGCTGCCAGCCCTGTGAGCTTCCTGGGCTGAGGCTCAGGGTTGAGGGCTGGGTGACCAGCTGGGAGGCATCTGGGCCAAGGGGTGTTTCTGTGCCTCTCATGATATTTTTCTTTCCAAATGGCTAAATGAGTCAGGAAGCCATAGCATCTGTGAGAGGGCTTTGCACTGCTGTGCCTGGGTCAAGTGACTGCTCTCTGGGTGTCATCTACTTGCTCCTGCAGCTCCACATCTACCCTCTTCTCTGTCATGGGATCTGAGCTCCATGTGGACTCCATCACTGGGTGTCCCTGCCACAGGCTTTGGACTGGTGGACTCCTCTGAGGTACAGGCTTTCAGTGCGCTCGTGGGCTTCTTTCTTCCCCAGAGTGATTTACTTCTCTGCCTCTACCTGGAGCCAGCCCCAGTGCCAACTAACCTGGCTTAGCACATTGATGTTTGTGTCTCACTCCTGAAGCCTGAACTTTGAGAAGCCCTCATACTCCCAGCCACAGAGCTGATTTTAAACTCTCAATTGAGTTTCTTGTCTGATCCTTAGCTTGGTGTTCCAGGCTCCTTCACTCGACTCCACCTTCCAGGGACCCCACAAAATGAGCTGCCCTCTGGAGCAGACATTGTGATCAATTGTACCATGTGCCGGGTGATTCTTGAATATGCACCCCCCCTTCCTTCTCATCCCACCCCGAGCAGAGACCAAGTCAACTGGGAGAGGAAGACACTTTCCCCTGGACATGCCCTGCCCAAAGCATCATTTTCCACATCACAGGACATAAGGAACTTTTATCTCCTACACAGTGGTACAGAAGTCTCTTCATTTTCAAGTTCATTCAGTTGTCTGTGCAGTATTTGCTCACATGCTCATTCATTTATTCTGCTATTTATGGGGATGCTCTAGGTGCCAGAATTGGTGAACATCTCATTTCATCCTTACAGGTGTCTGGTGGTGTATTGCATTATCACTGCCATGTGACATGGGAGGAAATGAGCAGAATGGTGACTCAGTGGCTTGGTGAGGTCCCAGGTCACAGAGCTTGTAAATATTGTACTCAGGGTTGGAAGCATTAGCTCTTGAACTCTCAAACTCCAACATGGTTCTATTTACCATCAGAAATGTAGACTGAGAAGGTCTACTGCATCTCTGAGCAGAGCAGGCAGAATGTGTGTGTGTGTGTGTGTGTGTGTGTGTGCATGTGGCAGGGGAGGTGGAGAAAGACAAGGAGCAAACACCCCAAGGAAGAAGCATGGGGGGAGGGTACAGGAGATCCAATTCTCCTCAGGTGATTTGCATCAGTAGAAGAAGGGAGAATACAGTGGCTGTCACAGTCTTTTCCTGTATTGACATCATAACAATCCCTTATTTCTGTGAGCACTTGGTAGTTTTCAAAGCACTTTCAAATCCATTAGCTCCTTTTATCCCCACAAGGATCTTGCAAAGGGGTGGGAATTTTTACACTGTCGATGAGCAGGATTGGAGGCTATGTAGCTTGCCCAAGTCATGGAGCCTGAAGGAAAAGTTGGATTTCCAACTCCTGGTTTTATGGTCTCTATACTGTGCCTCATTTTTTTCACCATCACTTTTTGACTTTGCATCAAATAAGGGAAGGAATGGATTCCTAGACTTCTCACAATCATTTACTCCTAGATTCCTAGTCACCTAGACAGCTGAGAACTATTTGAGTAGTTCTCAAATTTTATTTGGCACCAGCGTCACCTGGAAGGTGATCACATAGGTTTTTGGATCTGTTCCCAGAGTTTCAGATTCAGGAGGTCTGAGTAGGGACCAT